AGTAATTTTGTAAATAGGATTTATGGAGTATGAATTTATTATTAAAAAGAGAATAGTTGTAATGTTGTATTGATATGTTGATTATATCTGTAAAGGACCTATTATCCGGCCGGGCGAGGGGGGGGTTTTGGTCGAAAGGGGGGGGGGGTTTAAGATTTTGAAACTAGAGAGGGAAAATGAAATTAGCATCTATACTACTAGTAGTACATTGCGGAGGAAATTACAATCGGGTTGACCCGTAATTTGGACGTTAAAAGCCCAATTAAAAACTCTACGAAGGCCCATTATAACTTATTTGACCCGTTTACCCGGACCCGATTCTCGTTCCGCGGTGGAGGAACTCTTACATTAACAAGAGAGGACCGATTGAGTTCTTCAGGTTTCAGTGAACAGAAGAAAATTCCAAGAAATGGCGATTTCAAAAGTTAGATTGAAAGCTTGGTTCAGTAAGAAAATCAGCGAACCACTAGTCCAGATCTTGCGCAGGTTCTCTTCTGTGACTCTCTCTCTTCATATTTTAGTTTTCATTCCAAGTGAAACTCTTCTTTCTTGTTTTGATCAATCCTTCTCTACGTATCCTAGAGTTGATTACTTGTTCATCGATGTAGTTTGATCCATTTCCTATTTCTCGTTACTTGTTGTGGAATTGAATCAAATAGATAACTTGTGCTACTTCTCGACCGTTTTGGATTTCTTATCTGCAACACTAGAAGACCTAAAGGCTCGATTTTTTCGACATATGTTGTGTTTTTGAAACTCCTGGTGAATGTAAGAAATTTAACCAAGGTTTGATTTGTTTCCCTTTTTTATCGATTTTATTATAGAGGTGCTGAGCCAAAGCAGCTGGCTTTCTCTGCGGCAATAGGCATTACCATGGGAGTTTTTCCAATCTGTGGTGCGTATCAAAGCTTTTCCTTTTGTTCGAAGAGTTGCTCATTGAACATTGTAGTGTTTGTGATCGCAAAATTTTTCACTTAGAATGATCTTTGTGTTTTCGATAGGTGTTACAGTGTTGCTATGTGGAGTGGCTATTGCGTCGCTTGGATCTCTTTGTCACGCTCCAACTGTGATGTTGTTTAACTTCATTGCTACTCCAATAGAGCTAAGGTAACCAATTTTAGTTTCCATTTCAAGTTTCCTTTTAAACTCATCGCTTTAATCATTATAAAAGGGACAAGACAAAACAGTGTTCTAAAAAAAAATTAAGTATCAAATTGAGTCCTTATGTGTATTTTTGGTTTTCATATTGAAGTCTTGTGGTGCCCTTCTTACGGCTTGGAGAAAAACTAACCGGTGGAGCTCATTTTCCTTTAACATCTGATGCCCTGAAGAAGGTTTTTACAGGCCAAGCTTCCCGTGAAGTTTTTTTTAGCATTGGTAATGCGGTAAGGTTTCTTCTGTTTTATAGCTAAGTGGTGCAGATTTTGGATTATACCAATTCTACGCAAAGCTGCTCACAGCATTTCTGTTCGGATTGTCATATAACTTGCTTAAACATGAACCTATTCTTGCAGCTACTAGGGTGGCTCATAGCAACTCCATTTGTGGTCGTTGGACTGTACATTCTGTTTCTACCATGTTTCACTATCCTTGTCCGTAAATTCGGCTCTGCTTCTCCGACCGCAAAGACACATACCAGTCAGCACTCTGAACTCAAGACAAAGGAAAGGGTCGCTTAAATCATCAACAAGAGCAAGAAACTCACATCTACTTCACCACTCTAGATCAGACTTTGACGCAAGGTGAAACACCAGGATTTCTTGGTTTCTAAAGAAGAGCGTTGGAGATCTGCGATGTTGATGTGAAGTTGGTGTTTGTGTGTTTCTGCAGTAATAGGCCTGTCTATAGAAATCAGTGTTAAGGCCAATAACGCATCGAGTTGTGTATCAGTGTGTGTATGATGATAATATATAGGTAAAGCTTATAATACTCTTTTATAAATCAAACCAAGTCTTAACTAGTTTGATGACTTGATCTAATGGTCCTGTGAAAATTGATTAAAAAGCAAAACATAAAACAATCTGGTATGTGTCTCTATTTGGTTGCAACTTGCAAAGGACCTGAGGTTGACAACTTGATTGATGACTTAGGCTCGACGCCAAAAAGCAAAAATGAAGAATTTGTGGACTATGATCGGTGTGTTAACGTTTTCCTCTACTTTGGTTTTCTTGTTAACTTGGCTCACTTGTATAAGTCTCATTGTTTTTCGGCCAAAATCAAAAGGGAAAATTAACTAACCATTCTTAATCAAATCATTAATGCGCCTAAACTCTATATCTAATTTCTGACAAAATAAATAAGTGAAGATGGAAACAGACAGTTGCCATCTACTGAAAGCTAAATGCTTCACCTGAAACTCTGCCACATCGCTCTCTCTCTCACACACAAACACATTATTAGTTTATTACCCATCTCCGATCTCGAATCGATCTCACTTGTTGCAATTAAAGGAGGCTGCTTTATTTGTGGGTTTTGGACATTGAGTTGTTGTCTTTGTGTTGTGTGATGTCTTACAGCAATTCAAACCCAGAAAATTACGGCTCATCCACCGCCACGAACTCGCCGGAGCTTAAACTATACCAAGCTTTCATCTTCTCTGTACCAATCTGCTTCACATTCATCATCCTCTTCATGTTCTACCTCATCTACCTCCGTCGCGGCAGCGCCGATTTGTCTTCCCTCGGAATGCGAACTACTTTCCTCGCTGGAAACTCTCTCTCCACGGTAACTCTATTTCCTCTGCTTCTTCTCTGACAATTTTCTAGCTTTTTCTTCCTTTGATGGGTTTCAATTCTTTGAAGATGTGTTTTTTTTTTGTTCTCTTGAATCGTTTCTATTTCGTTGATGGGTTTAGTTCTGTAATGGTGGTTGGTGGGTTTAAACATGAACAGGCTGAATTAGGGTTGAGCAAAGAGCTGAGAGAGATGCTTCCCATCGTCGTCTTTAGAGAAAGCTTCTCTGTAATGGATTCACAGTGAGTTACAAGATTCTTTTCTCTTAGTAATCTATTCCTTCTTTTCACGACCATGAGTGAGATTTTACATGAAAGGGGTAGTGATTAGAAAGTTAAAACAGTTATGTTACATGATTTAGAACTAAGTTTTACATTGGGGAAGAAAATAAAGATGAGAGATTAATTTCTGATCAAATTGAGGTCATATTGTTTAATTGAAATGGCACAACAGTTGCTTCCATGATCAGATAATTGTAGGAGGTTATGGTCGCTATTATATATGGACAATGTGTATTACTATTATGTAATCTGGAAGAGAGGGACTGAGAGAGATAGAGAGATCTCAAGATTTCATATTCGCTGATAGTTTGAAAGGATTTGTTATCCCAATTCACATAGGTTGTAAGTGTAAAATCATTGGACTTGATCCTTGTTCACTGAGAGCCAAACTGTATAACTAGAATGAAGAATAAACTGCTTTGGAATTTTTTTTATTTGCAGATGTTCAGTGTGCCTTGGGGACTATCAAGCAGATGACAAGCTTCAACAGATCCCAGCATGTGGACACACTTTTCACATGGACTGTATTGATCTTTGGCTGACATCACATACCACTTGCCCTCTTTGCCGTCTCACTCTTCTCCCGAGCCAATCCCATCAAAGCCAAGAAGAAGAAGATCCTGTTCCGAGTCTCTCAAGCACTGATGGAGGAGTGTCGAGTCAACCGGAATCTCAGCCAGAAAACCACGAAAATGATGGCCAAGAGCAACAATGTGATCCGAACGTATGTGATCGAGATGCAGAGAGGTTTAAAGAAACGCAAGAGGATGAAAGAAACAGCATAGAGACATCTAATGGTTGTTGTAATTGTAGACCTGCTTAAAAATTACAGCTTTTTGTTCTGTTCTTCATGTAACTGTAAAAGTTTGCCGCTTTTCTTGCGTTTGTGTAACTTGTAAGCTGTTATATTAGAGTATTTTCTAGGAATGAAAATGAGAGCTTGATCAATAGAAGAAGAAACAAAAGCTTAGGAAGAAGGCAAATGTCTCTATGTTTGGGATGAAACAAAAAAAACTTTTGGAAACTTACCAAATTTCTCTTCTCGGATAAACTTGTTCCATTATCTTTTGTGTTTCCTTGCGCGCAAAAACAAAGAGTATGGTTTGCTACAAAACAGCAAATAATTGAATATTCAAAAGGGTTTGTGCTTATTACATAAGTGAAACAAACAAAAACAAAAGATAAAGGAAATAAGCGAAAGAGAAAGAAAAAAGCAAGAGTCAATGGTGGGTGAGAGAGTAAATCAATCATGAATTTAGGAGAAGGGGATGTGTAATCAGATGAGCAATCACAGATTACTTTCCCGTGTTTCTGCTTCATCTTTGGGGGAAAAAAACAAAGCTTCTAATTGTGTTGTCCTCTCTCTGCTTTAATGCTTTCTCTTTCTCTCACTTTCAATCTCCTGTTTGGTCCTATCAAGATTCCATTCGTTGTTTCTTGGCAAAGATAAGGATCTTAAACTCTGTAATTTTCCAATCTTGTTGATCCTTATCTGGAGGGTTTCCTTTTGCACATTCCCAAAACCCTAGAGCAGAACCAGAGGGATCTTTGACTTTTCTTGTCTGCTCTTCCCTGCCCAAATCGAAAGTCCCGACATGGGTTCAATCCACAACACAGTTCACTACTGTTGTGTCTCGAGAGACAATCAGATTCTGTACGCTTACAACAATGGCGGAGACCAACGAATCAACGAGAGTCTCGCTGCCTTGTGTTTAGAAAAGACTCCGCCTTTTCACAAGTGGTACTTCGAAACCATAAGCAAGAGGACCTTTGGGTTCTTGATGGAAGATGGGTTTGTGTATTTCGCCATTGTTGATGAGGTTTTCAAGAGATCTAGCGTTCTTGAATTCCTGGAGCGATTAAGGGATGAGTTGAAGAAAGCAGATAAGAAGAATTCGAGAGGAAGTTTCTCTGGGAGTATCAGTTTTAGCAATGTTCAAGATCAGCTTGTACGGAGACTCATAGCTTCGTTAGAGCGTGTTGCTCCTGAGACTAATGACCTCACTTGTCTTCCGTTATCATCACCTTCCATTGAACAAAGCGACGCAGCTAGTTCCACGAAAGCCCCGCTCCTTGGAAGATCCAACAAGCAAGAGAATAAGAAGAAAGGGAAAGATCATGTGAACACAAAGAGAGGAATTGAGTTAGAGGAACAACGGAGATCTACTGATAGAGGAAACGTTACGGAATGTTCTAATGCCTCATCTGCTGCAGGTGCTGCAGAAGCAGCAACATATGTTCCAAGAAGGGGACGATCTAGTGGTTCTCAGAGCATTGAAAGGAAGTGGCGGCGTCAAGTGCAGATTGTTCTTGCTATTGATGCAGTTATCTGCTTAACGTTGCTTGGTATTTGGTTGGTTATTTGTCAGGGCATTGAGTGTACACGTTCTTGACTAACAGGGAGTTCAAAATCGTCTTCAAGATTCAAGTTCTGCTTTCATTTTCATATGGCTTGATTGATCTATTATTATTCTTTCACATACCCTTTTTTTCTTCTGCAATTCTGTTTTATCGACTGCAGTTGGTATACTCTGCTGCATTGTTGATTGTATATTTAGGTGTCTGAGGCTCAAAGTTCCTTACCTTGGTTTCTGTATGATATAATGATTGTGTTTATATGATTTAGTGAACCGCTGAACATAGCTCATTGTACATAAAAACCAGTTTGCTTAACATTTGTTGATGTGAATGGAAACAATTGCATTTTTCTAGTCATAATAAGTTATGTATAGTGTCTTTTTTTCCAGAACTGTGTTCTCTGCTGTTGCCAATTCCTCTTCTGCAATTCGGACAACTACATAGATCTAATTCGGTCGGATCATATGGAGTATTAATGCCTCTTTACATCAAGATAATGATTGCTAGAGAGAGATATTAAATTGTCATAACTCATTATAGAGGATTACATAAGATCAAAGTGAAATATTGCAATTACATTTTTCATTTTCCATCCACCGCGGATGGAGAATGAAGGTTTTGTTTTCTTACATAGAATCAGAATCACACGCTTACATGATAACATTAAGTACATAAAAGAGTCTGTTTTTTTTGGTCTTGAAGAAACAGAGGACAGAGTAAAAGAGAGATAAGGAGGTGATGAATACCTCTCACCTGAATCCTAACCATGGTTGGTCAACTGGTTTAGTTGATGTTAAGAGAAGAACCTAAAGGGAACCAAAATATGTCCCAAGAGGCAAAACATGCAAATGCAATGACCCCACATTCCATCTGTAGGGTTGGTTGAAACTATGATGAGCAATCTAAATTTTGAATCTTAAAAATGATCTTAATCTATGTTAGTTCAAGTGTGGCTATAACTCCAAAGCTTAGCCACCGAGAATATACATGGGTTAGCAAACACTATTACTTCCTTTCTCCTCAAAGGAAGTCTATGAGGCTATTTCTCTGCCTTTCTTTTCTGTTCTAGCTCCCTATGATATAACACATTTCGTAACAAGATGGTCCTAGATCTAATAATTCTAAGACTGCACATTAAAAATGGATATTGCGCGAAGTAGTGGGCACACCTTTATGCACACTACTTCAAACACTTCCAGGTGGTGGCAATTCACTTTCTTGAGCCTTTCCCGGGAAATCCTTATTTCCTTTCTTGTTGATCAGCCAATCCTAAGCTTTTAGAGTTTTTTTCTACAAAATTGCTTGCCTTTCTGGGGCACTGTGCAAGACACGGTAACTCTTACTTAAGTTGATACTTCTACAGCTCGAACAGGCTATCTTGAACGAAACCTTTTCGTTCAGAAGCACGTGATGCAATGAGAAAAATGAAAAGATGAGTAATGCGTATGACTATGGTCCAAGTTTAAACCCCTATGTGAGACTTAATTGGAACTTGCAAAGATGCCCAAACTCCAAAATATGGGCTCTTGCCTAAGGGGTTAGAAGCATAGAGGGAAAAGGGCAACCATGGTTAGGCCACAGGTCTTGTGGAAGTTCGGGGCATGCGGATGAAACTAGTAAACAGAGCTTGGCTTTAAGGATTTAAATGAATCGGCTTCTACACAGCATCATGGAATCTGAGGTGAACCATGAGCCTTCATGGTCAAGCCTGTGGAACTGCAAAGCACACTGCTGAGAACATCAGTACCTCTGGCTTTCCAGGATTTGAATTATGAACAACGAAAACAGATAAATCAACAAACCTGATGGTATGACCGGTGAAGGTGCAAGAGACACTGGTGAGCCGTTGTGATGTGGGTAATTACCACCAGTAGACGACGCAAGAGGTGAATAGTGAAACATGTGATTGGGGTAGTGGAGAGGAGCATAACCAGTGACGGGTGCATTTGCTTCAGCAAACTGGAGATATGGGTAAAACGCTGCTGCTGCTGCTACACCAGTCATTGGTCCGCTACCATACATTGGATGCTGTGCAGTTGCACCTCCATAAACATTGTAGTAGCTCTGTTATAACGAAAAAAAAAACCAATAAGCTATATGAGATCAAAAGAGAGTAGGGAGAGACTTTCATAGTAAATTTGACAATCAAATTGAGAAAAGCAGAGAATACATACCGTGGGGTAATTGTAATCCATTGAGTACGAAGAGAACCTAATGACACCAAACAGAGGATTATAAGTCTATTTAAAGTGATGATTTTTGGAAGAGAAGTAAGAGATTAAAACGTGGAGTACCCAAAAGGATTAGTGTAAGGAAGTGCGTAGTGGGAGAATGGAAGTGGAGAAGGAAGAGCAGCGGGAGCCCCAAAGTGTGTCTTGAAAGGGCTAGTGACCTTCACGCCTCTTCCTCCTGCGTGTCCTGCCAAAAACACAACACTATAAGAATGTCCTCTCAAACATTTTCTTGATATTTAACCATAAAAGCTACCATCAAAGCAAATTTATGCAAAGCAATACGTCTTCAGAGTAAAAAACAAACGCTTAGGTTTTAACCAGTAAAGAATCATACTGAGATTTGAGACTGTTCTAGTAAAGGGCAAAAAGACGGCTTTTTAAGCAGTTTAATCAAACTTAGGAATCAAGATGCAGCTACCCTCAAAACAATGAAGGAAGAAGATTTATCAAGTATCTAACTTTGCTACCTGATAAGTAAAAACAGGTGATTAATATATACACTTTTCAGCTTTTGCTCTTACATAATGGTAAGATCCATGAAACTCAATAGTACTCTGGTCTAAAACTTCTCAAGATCAATTAGATGAAAGCATCAAAAAGAAGAAACCTAGAAGATACCGTGAATTGGAGAAGAAGGTTTGGATCTCTGAACACCAAAAGCCGCAAGATTGCAATTAGCTCTTCTTCCATCGATCACAGGAGCTGGATCTACGCATGCTTTCTGTGCTGCTTCCGGATCACAAAAAGTCACCTGAAACTCAAAAGAAAACATAATCCGTGAGCTTAAAAGCTATCATAGTAAAATCTCTCCCGAGTGAAAAGAAAAAACGGAAAAGAGAAGACGCTTACAAAGCCGTATCCTTTGGATCTGCCGCTAGATTTATCAGTGATAACGACGGCTTCAACAATGTCCCCAAACTGTTCGAAGTAATTCCTGAGAGAGATTTTGTGGGTTTCCCATGCTAATCCTCCCACGAAGACCTTGGTGAATGTCGTATCTTCCATTATCAGAAACACGCAATTCAACGATACCCGTGAAAAAAAATAAGAAAGAAAGTTGCGATTTTTGGGAACAAGAAGCAGAACGGTAGTTGAGAGAAGAGGAGAGAGAGAGAGAGGAAGGAGGGAAGAGGATTCAAGGAAAAGAAAGAAAGAATTGGGGGACAAACTCATTCAATTATTTATGTTAGCTTTTTCACAAATATCAATGACATTTTATTGTACGGTCACTGTGGATGTACACTTTATTTTTTTGTTTGTTGGTCGGATATCCACTCTGTAAATGGATTTACATTTTCAAAATTTTATATTAGAGCTACTACCTAAAAATTGAGCTACTATTTGTAAATGGGGTAGATGTATGGGTGTACACTTTTTTAGTTGTTGCATATCCACTCTGTAATGAGATTTACATTTTGAAAATTCTATATTGGAGCTACTATTTGTAAATGTGGTAGATGTATAGGTAGAAAAGTTATTACTTCCAAATATTTGTATTTCTTCTTCACCAAATATAGAATTTGAAACTTAGTTAACTTCGCGTGTCTTTGAGCAGACTGATATAATTTTTCATTTAGTTGTTTAAAAATCTAATAGTATTTTGGATTCATTTGTTTTTTTATTCTCTATTGTTGAGTATATTTGTATGTTAGATTTCCTTGCATTTTAATGTTTGAAAACATGACCATGAAAACAATATAAAAGTGAGTAAATAAAAACATATAAGTATCCAAATAATTTAGTTTAAATAGTTTTGAGATCTTTTGATCATTATTCTATGTAATTTAGATGTAGTTTTTTTAAGTACTGTACGAACTTATTCGATTTTGATCACTATTTTATGTATTTTAGACATCACATATACCATCATTTTATTAGACATTCCATTAACTGATTTTTACTTTTTCGTTAGATTTGACTAAATATCGGTTTTATTAAATTTGAAAAACGGTATTGACAATAAAGTGAAGTATTAAACCATAATAATTAAGACAGATATGATTTAAGTTATTTCTTATTTAATACTTGTTTAAAAAAATATTAGTATATGTTTACCTGATGACTCCATGAGTTTTTAGTTAGAACGAAGAAAAAGGAATAGATTAGACAATTTTGAAAGTTGTGAGAGAATTAAAGAAAAGTGGCTGATATTTATATATATATATTTTTTTGTCAACAGCCTAAATACCTAAAACGGTTCGACTAACCAAACCGGTGGTATTGAGTTTACATAAATAATGTCTTGAGGGTAGACACGAGCACTTCTTGCTAATTTGTCTGCCTTCAAATTCTTCGCGCATGGGATCTGTGATATCAAAAAAAAGCTGAATCTGTCCTTCATCTTCACAAACTCCTCCAAATGTAACGTAAAAGCTGGCTATTCTTCAGGTGTAGACACCATCTTCACCAATTCCGAACAGTCTGTTGCAAATGGTATTGCTATTTTCTGATTCTCAAGCATACAATGCATAGCCCATATGAGCGCTTCCATCTCCGCATGCAGAGGCGAAAGACTGCATCTTACATTTTGTGCTCCCATCATTTGGTCTATAGCACCTTCTTGAAAATAGTACCATCCTAATCCTGTATATAAATCTGTATCTTTCCAAGAGCCATCAATATAACACCACCAACCTTCGTAACTCGGAGGTATGGAGTATACCGCAGAAAGTCTCGAATTTATGTGAGTTGAAATTTGTTCAGACCCTTGAGCATGTTCCCATGATATCGCCTCTGATTCCGCTATCTTTAGTGTAATTTGTGGATCTACATCTATATTTGAATACACTTTCTCATTTCGTGCCTTCCAGATATACCATGCTATCCATGGGAATTGAGTATTTTTCATCGTTTTAGGAAGTCTCCAGAAAAGATGATCAAAATTTGAGTAAACCGAAGTCATTGGAAAAACACCAGGTGGTGTTGGTATCTGAGATAATGCCCAAGTTTGTAAAGCAGGGGGACATTCGAAAAAAACATGATTTATGGTTTCATCCTCCGCTCCACACCGTGCACATTGTGTATCACATTGTATTTCCCGAGTGCATAATCTAGTTGACACTGAAAGACATTCAGATATTGCTTGCCAGATAAAATATCGTAATTTCGGAGGACATTTTAATTTCCAAGCATATGCCTGTAGTGCCCTTATATCTGGTCCATAGAGCTCCTCTGTGATTCTATCTGATAATTGATGCTCAATTTTGTATACTGATTTAACCGTATATCTTCCTGATATTGTGAAATGTCATCCCAAAGGATCAGGCCAATAAGAGCTACTAATGGGGATTCCACAGATAATTTCCACATCAGTTGGTTCAATAATTACTTTTATCAAATCTAAATTCCATGTCTTTGTCGCTGGGTCAATCAGATGATTAACCATAAAATTTGAGTAATAATTGATTTTTTTACAAGTGGCTGATCTCGGGCGAGAAGAAGGTATCCAAGGATCATTCCATACTGAAATAGAGCATCCCGAACCAAGTGGCTGATATTTATATTAAATCATAAGAAATCGAAAATCCTATAAACATAAGAAATTGTAAACACTAACCTATCTATCATAATAATTAGTGACATTCCATTAGTTAGAGATGATTTCCTTTTTTTAAATGACATTCTATTATTTAGATATATGGATTTTTTTAATTTGTTTTACTTTTTTAATAGATATTTTTTTAAATATTTGATTTTTTTTCTTTTGAAACAAGATTCTATTACTTTTTAAATAGATTCTATTTTTTGTTTCTTTTAACATTTTTGTTAAATTTTTTTTTAAAATTTTGGAAACATAGGAAATGATAAACACTAAGAGATATAGATTCTATTTTTTTATATAAAAAAAACTTTTTTGTTAATTTTTAAAAAAATTTTGGCTAGATATAACTTTAAAAACAGTTTGATTGACTATGAATTTAAACATTAAACCATAATAATTTAGACCATGTTGTTTTAAGTTTTTTTTTACACATCATTAGATAAGAATCAAATAAAAAATAACACATAATTGTAAAATATGGCTAAACAGTTTTTTTACAGCCGAAATTCATTCTGGAGCTGACACGTAAGCGAAAGAATATGAAAATCGTTGTAAGTGTGACACGTAAGCAAATCACTACATAAATAAGTATATAGATAGATTAAACAAAAAATATTCTCAGAGGATCAGAAAAAAAAATTTAGCTAATAAACCCTTTAGCAAAAAATTAGGATTAATACTTCTCAAAAAAGAAAAAAAAATCTAGAAAAATACAAAAGTTACATTTTTTTCTGCGTGTCATTTATGACTTTACATTAAAACTAATATTATATTTTTATTTTAAATTAAATAATGCAATATTTGTTGTTGCATACTTTTTAATTTATTTATGATTCTGTGTCATTTTTGCAAATAAGTGCCAAAATCATAAATGACACGCAAAAAAAATTATATTTTTTATAGTTATTGTTTTTAATTCTTTTATTTTGGTTTTTGTAGTTCCATATCCCTATACGTTAATTTATGTGATTTACATGAGTATTCTTTTTTAAAAGATCGGCTTATAGTATTCTTTTTTAAAAAAAAACATGAGTATCCTAACCTTAAATTTAGACTAAACCCATAAAACATTCAGATTTTTGTCACTAAAAATAATAGATTATTTATGATTAAAATTATAATAGGAACCAAAAAGTTGTAATGGGATGATTCTTTTTAATGAAAAATTTAACTATGTATATCTAGGTCAGGGATCAAATCTCTAGGAATTATTACATTAACTTTTGGTTATCCAACTTTGTAAGCTGTGATTTGTATTTTTTATGGAAAAAAATGATGGATTTAAGGGGATTAGTCTGGGTCTAAGGAGATGATTTAAATCCAACACTAGATCCATAAAATGATAAATAAAATAAATCCTAATAACCATTGAATCACTTGCCTAGTCAGTAATATAAACAAATAAAATTATTATTTTGGCTCTAACATTTCAACCGTTAAATTACAGTATAACTTCTATAAATTAATATTCGATCAGTTAATATCTTAATAAATTAATATATTTCTTAAATTTTAAATTAGTTTTTGAAATTTTATATCGATAAATTAATAACTGTATGTAGGAAAAGGAAAAAAAATTACTCTTGTTTCAAGTACTTAAAATATTTGACCAACCTAGCTATCAATCAAAGTCGTACTGATTTACGTATTTTCCATCCAAATCTCTCTAATTGGTTGTTATAAAACTTGAGTCTCCTTGTGAACTCGAAATCGAAATGAGATCTCACAACAGCGAGAAAAAAAGGTCGTCTAAAATGGACAATAGTCCAAAAGCTGATTTATATACACATTTTTAAGACTAAGTAAAATCTTATATTATGGTTTATATTGTTATAATAATAATGTTTCATAGAACTTTTTTAGAAAATATCCCCAAATACGAAGAAAAACAAGGCAAGGCATATATGGGCCAAAAAAAAAAGTAGGAAAAGAGAAAAAGGGCAAAGAGACAGAGCTGTCTCCCCACGCCTTTAAACCAAAAAAGCCTTAACACATTCCTTCCCCACGTGACCCCACCCCGCATCATCATCATTCACCCACAGCCTAGCAATCCATTTTACAGCTCATCATGGGGCCTACACTCAGATCTCTCATTCATTATATTGGGCCTTGAAACCTTTCACGGCCCATTAAGTATTATACTGCGGGTCTGTTTCCATCGTTGTGGCTTATAAAGAGTCCAACTGGTGACAATATTAGGAATAAGAGGAATGATAAAGAAAAAAAAATAAAAGGAATCATATGGAAAAATTTAAAAGGAATCAATACAGAGAAGGAATGGAACAAACTGTCACAATAAATGGTAACCAAAAACAGGAATGAATATTTTAAAATAATAAATCTTCAACAATTAATAATTTAAAAGAAAAAATGTTTTTATTAATAGAGTCGATTGTCTACGGCTTTAGCGTCTCCTTTCTTTCCACAATGCGTTCAATAACTACAACATAAAAATCTGCATTATTGATCCATAAAATAGTATCCAACTAATAACTTAGCATTAAGTTTTTTTTATAGAGAATTGACAATATATCAAATAACGTGTACGTTAAAGTAATAGTAGACAAACCTATAACCGACGCAAGAAGCAGGTCTTTTGTTGGACCACAATTCTTGGGCAATATGATCTCGAACAATTTTCATATAAACCTCTGTTGATGTTTCTTCATTTGTTCGTCCATCATCTTCATCATCTGAAAGATTGTTCTCATTTTGATGCATACCATCGCCCATTTCTGCCTTGTTCCACCGAATAAAATTATGAAGTCCCATTGTTGCAAATATAACATTTCTTTGCGTTGAAATATTATACCTTGGAAATTCTCTAATAACCCTCCACTTTTTCTTCCATACACCAAAAGTTCGTTCAATAACTGAACGCAATGATGCATGCCATCTATTGAACATTTCCTTACTATTTTTTGGAGGCTCCTTATTTATAAACTCTTGAAGATGATATCGAGTACCATCTTTTTTGTCTTTCCGATATGGAGCTAAATATCCATGTCTATTTGCATAGCCAGAATCTACAAGATAATATTTTCCGTCAGGAGGTTTAGGAAACATTGGATCATCTCGTATAGCGGTTTCCAGCACTCGTGAGTCATGTGTTGATCCAGCCATTCCAACAAAACAATACGTAAATAGCATATCGTGATCACAAATTCCTAGGACGTTAAGACTTGCTGTTCCTTTTCGGTTCACAAACCGTAATGTATCTCGACCTGGAGTCACCATAACCGGTATATGTGTCCCATCAAGAGCCCCGATACATCCACTAAAATAAGGCCAATACCGTCTATCTCCTTCTAAACTATTGGATATTGCTTCTAACTCATAAGCTGTTCTTGGCCGTAAATAGTCAACAGCCAATCGTACCATTGCCCCAAGAACACAATGAAATTTTCTATATATAGTTTCTTGGGCATGGCCAAATCTTAAACTGATGTCATACTGAGTGTCATTTTGGCCACAAAGAATCAAGAATATTGCAACACTCTCATCGACTTTCATATTATGTGACTCTTGTAATCCATACTTTTGCTGAAGAACTTCACATAAACGGGTGAATGCTTCTGAGCTCATGCGAATAAGAGTACGACAAGAATTTTCGTTGTTGTAGATTTGCCCCCTAATGATTTTCCAACCATTTCCCCACTCTACGTTCATTGGCTTCTTAAAAAAATTCTTTTGGTAGTACTCTAATATAGGATGTATGTACCTTTGAAAAATTTCATCTTCCTCCAATAACATTAACTCTGATAGCTCATCCTCATCTAGATTTTCAACTCCACGTAACCTTAATTCAATAATACGAAGTTCCTGCAAAATTTTAGAATGCATAGTATTATTAATTTAAGTAGAAAATAACTTCAAGCTTGTATTAATTTAAGTAGAAGTAAAAAACACCAAAATTCTAAAGCACGTAAATATTATTAAAAAAATCTAGGAAACACTAGAGCAAACACCAAAGCTCCAAAGTACTTAAATTAAAGACCTAACAAATAAAAAAATCCCATAACACTCAAGCTAGCTTGTCACCATCCATTCCATCATCAAGTATATTGACGATATTTGGTACTTGTTTTGTTGATTCTTCTAATCCAGAGGATTGTATCCCAAGAAACTTTGTGAATTCAGTTCTACCAATTTCAGTCCCCATAGAACTACTTCCAATCATTCCAATATTTTGAAAGAGATTTGGACTTGTCAGATTGACAAAATTGCATGGATGCCCGTATCTATCAGTGCCAAGTAAACTCTCCAGATATCTGATCTTAATTTCTTCACTCTCTGATTTCATGAAGGCTTCACGAACATTCTCATCGCTCTTCAATAACTTATTTGCTGCCCACCAAAATATTCCAAGTTGTTCAATTGGAAGTTTTTCTAGAACAGCTGTTGCATCACCGTAGGTTAGCTTTTGAACTTTTCGCGAGCGTAATTCTTCCAAAAACTCTTGACGAGTATCTATTACACGTTGAAACTCATTCTGGACCTGCTTTTCAAAGTTAGCTCTTCTTCTTGGAGGACGACGGGCTGGCGTGTTTCGAATTGACGGTTGGGCTCCGTGATCATTAGCCACAGCCATAGTTGGTTCAGCAATTTGAACTTCTTGCTGGTCCATTATTATGCCATCACTGCTAGGTAAAGTAGGTTGAATCTGCAGGAGATTTTGGCTAAGCATATGGGGAGAATACCGTTCATCTTGATCAACGTCATGTTCACCAAAAATTTGGTCCAACAAGTCTTTGAACGGCAAAGGCTTTTTTTGCAATACACGAACAAATTTTCCTTTATTACCATATTCCTGCGAATAGTAATAAAAAATTAGTCACAAGAAAAATATGTTAGCAAGAACCTATATAATCAAATAGACATGGATAGAGAATTACCGCAATCCGATCAGTCCACCACATTTGCGTCATATCTATTTGTCCAGTAGATGGATTAACCGCAACACCAGTGCGGTTTATCAACTGACCATTAATAACCCATAGCTTACGCAAGTAACCAATTTTGTTATTTATCTCTGGATCCCATGAAATCTTGTCTCCCATCAACTCATAATATTTGTTTTCAATTCTTCTTCTAGCAGCAACATCTGGCATTCTACTACGATAATCATCTGCTTTTAACTCCTTAATGACAAGTTCAAGCATAACTTGACAATTTTTATCCTTCCAAGCATACTAACGTATATATTTTGTAACAGTTAATTGATATGTTTCATATTAGTAAATCAATAAATTTGCAGAATACAAGATATCTAAAAACAAGTACCTGACCTTCACGAGTTGTTCTTGCCTCATCATTTGGTTGACGTCCGCCGCGACGTGTCCCACTATTGTTTCTTGAACTTGACATGATACCTATAACAAATTCATATGATACATGTGTTATTTTCAAGCATCATTAAACACATGCTCTTTGCTATAAACTTATTTTCAAATTATGTACCTTTTCTTCTTTCTTTGTCGATGTATTAGGTTAGAGAAAGAAAAAAATTTCTCTCACATATATAGAAGTAGAAGAAGACGAGGTGTGGAAGATTCACGTCAAATGTCAATTTTCTATAAATTTACTTTAAAATATTTACAAAACAATATATTTTTACCAATTTTTATTATTTTCTTTCTATTCCCTATCAAATTTGATGAGGAATAGATTTGTTCTATAATTCCTCATATAAGAAGGAATGAAAAGGAATTATGTGTAACAGATATTCCATCTAACTGGTAAAAAAAATTAAGAATGAAGAGGAATACCATATTCCCAATCATTCCTTTCCTCAATTGTGGTCAGCAGTTGGACCCGTACTTTTCAAATTCCTAATTTCGTTTTTGTACGAGCAACCAAAAAAAAAAAAAAAACAAACCGGGCTCTTTTAGTATGTTGAGATCTTTTTTAATGGAAGAATCACTGGTGGTAGATATGAACGTATTTATGTCTTGTTAATGGAAACAGATGTAGCCAGATGTAGCCAAAACTACAACGCGTAGAATTTAATTAATTTAATCAGTGAATGCCCGAAAATTTAAGTACTTTTGTTTCATTTAAAACTCTTTCAGTTCCAATCGTTTTAAAGATTAAGAGTTAAAATTTCTAAAATTTATGTAATAATGTTTTACGTCTTACAAATCAAAAGATTTAGTATTTACAAGTACAAACTACAAGTCTACAACTTATGTCTAATAAGAATCAAATCATTTTGACTTGGTTCCGATTTCTATATTTAAATGTGATATTGTTCTTCTATTGATCAATATTTCAATTTTAACTTGGAGACTTATCAGGTTTTTTTTTTTTATCAAAACTTGGAGTCTTATCCTAATCAAATCAAACATAAATAAAGAAAATTAAAAATATCCAACAAAAAAATAACAAAAAGAAAAAATTTGGAATAACCTTGCATCAGAATTTTATACAATATAGGGGTGTTAGGTCATCGGTTTTTTCTTATCAATCGATGGTTCAGCTTTTGAACATCATGTTGGTCCTATGACTCTTATATGTTCCTACCTTTCTGGTTTCCTCATTTTATGCATAGTCAGCTCCCAATATGTGTTTATCTGATATCGAAGCTAAGATATTTCCGTCTCTAACTCTTTTATTATACGTTTCTAGCTACACATGTATCACCGCTATTACAAAAACAAAAAAAGTTTAGGTTTAACTTTTGAGAGAGAAGGAAGACAAACCGAGTGATGATAAGAAAAAATACAAATTGTGATCGGTTTTGTGTAGTGTTTAGTTGTAGAGTATATCTTCTGAAGCTGAAAACGAGTTGACCTTTTCTTCATCATTGTTCTTTTTCCCCTCCTATTGCCCTACCACTCCACTCTAGCCCTATTGAATCATGTATAGTGTGTGTGTGTATGTGTATGTGTAACGTTTGTACTTCCAACTATAAAAAAAAGTTCACAAAAAATGATTTTGGTTTATTTGATATAATCATATAACTCTATTGGGCGCTTGCATTCGTATATTGCATATATATGAGTCATGTGATTGGTGGTCAAGGTCAACTAATATAAGAGTCATGATGCGATTGGTGGTCAACTGTGTGATACTATTTGATAGACGTTAGCACTGATCTTCTTCCACCATATCGATCTAATTTAGTACCTTTAGGTTAATAACACGTTATATATATATATATATATATTGATGGGAAAACCCTTCTAGAATACGTAAAAATGTTCACTATCCTAATATGTTACACAATTTAACGGTTTACTAGATTCTAACCCCGTGCATCCGCATGAGAATATTTTTTATTGTTTAACGAATTTTGTAATATAATTTGTGTTTTTGAGTTTAGATATAATTTTTTTATAAATATATTTTTAATAAGTGAAAATATTGATTTTTGTGTTTAGATATATTTTTATAGTATTAAAATTTAATTATGATTATAAAAATATAATTTTAACCCGTCCGCTAATATTAATTCAAAATGAACTATTATAAATTCAAAATGAACTATTATAAAAACATAATTCTAACTTTTCCGTTCATATTACCGTATAATATAAATATTTGTAAAAGTTTGATATGTATTAACAGTATTATTTAGCATTATAGTTTTCTAAAATATAATCAACGAAGGAAGTGTACAACTGGTTTTTCAAACCACATTATAGTGTATGCAATAATTTTTAATTTTTTATGTTTTTATTTTGTATGAAAAATATATTTTCGATATACGTGTATAATTCAAAATTAGTGATTTAGTTACCAAAATATTTTTAACCCGGATTTTATATATATTTTTAGTTTTATAAATTTTAAAAAATATATTTTTAATATTTAAATTATACATTTTAATTTTATCTATTATTTTATTATTAATTTGTAAATAAATCATAATCGTAAATATATTATATAAGCAACATAAATATCATATCATTTACATCATTATAAATATTTTATATTTCAAATATGACCATTATTTTTCATATGTGAATTATTATTTTTTTCAAAAATTCTAGATATTTTTGATAAAATTGTTTAATAGTATAGAAATTATTTAAATTAGAATCTTTAAATCAAATCTAAATTAATATCTGATTTATTATTTTTAATTAAATCAAATCAAATCTAAATTACCTATATTTAAGGAACTCTAAAAATATTTAAATTAATAACTAATTTTCGAAATTAAATATAAATAATTATTAAAATTATTTTTAAACACTTAAAAAAAATTAAGAGTGTTTGGAAACAAGTATTAAATGTGCTTCTGATATATAAGAAATACATTCGTCAATTGTGTGTACAGTTTTACGTGCTCTAGAAGGACTGAAGGGTTAAGGGTTTTCCCCATCGATATATATATATATATAGATTGAACTTGTAATTAATCTAAAGGTACTAAATTATTTATTAGTTTGCTTTCACCGGTTGACTAATAATATGCTCATTTCTAAAAACAACTCGATCGATCAGCACTAAGCATTCATTTTTCTCCCACTTGATTATGTAAAAGCAATTCATATATCGTGCACAGTCCAAACAACAAGATCAACGGGCGAAGGAAGAAACTTTATATAATTAAAAACCTTTTTCAAACATTGGTGGACCTAATTATTTTCTAGTTAATGAGAAGTACAGTTAAAAAACTTTATATACTAACTAAATTAACAAAAAAAAAAAAACGTATATAG